CAGGCACGAAAGGCCAAGTGGGCGGTTTTCAAAATCCAGGGGTTTGTCTGCAAGCGTTTCCTTCCTTCCTTCCCCTCCCCCTCCCCCCTCTTTTACTCGTTCCATTTTTCGCACTGTAATTCTTTGCTCCCGAACCCCACAGAAATGCTTGCTACGCAGGCTAGGTTTTCACAGGCAGTCAAAACTATTTAAACTGAACTTCTAATATAAGAAAAATGATCAAACCAGGCGGGCAAAATAATCCTCACACAAAATAGTCCTCACAGCTGGTCAGTTTGCCTAGTGCCTGCCCCTTAATGAAACCCCTGCATAACAGAGAAACTCCATGAACTGTGTAACATACATACCTGTTGAAATGATTGATACCAATCCTAGTTTCCAACTTCTGAGGTTTTGTCCCAGAATCATAGTCAGAATAAAGACTTATGGAGTCATCATCAGTACTGGGTACTTCTGTGGAGGCACACATACCATCCAAGCTGTCCACACTGCTTAGATCTCTTCTCATATCATCCCCTGTGTATAGGGAAGAGGTACAATGTAAAGGGCAGAGTCACTGGCTGCTTGACAACTGATTAGTGCTAACCTCTACATTAGTTTGTTTTGTGTGATCAACCAGCTGAGGGTAGTTCTGAAAAGAACTCGTTGGTGACTGACAATTCGACAACCTGAGCAGAAAATGGTCGAAATACATGTAGTTAATAAGTAAATTTTGCCAAACCTGAGTCATCACTCTCACACATAGAGCCATCCTCATTGAAGGTTTCTCCCCGTGGACGCATAGGCAGATCACCATTAGGAACCTTCTTGGAGGTCTCGCCATCCTCAACAAATGCGTCATCTGGCAGAGTTTCCACATTATCTAGAACCTCGACTTTCACATAATGTTCCGTTATGCTAGTAACACTGCCTTGCCTTGTTTCAGCCTTTTCATTTGTTACATCCCTTTGCTCTTGTTGCTTGTCTTCGACTTGAATTGAAGCTCCAACAAAGATAGATGTAAGATCAGCTGGAAATTTTTCTTCAACAAAGTTTGGTGACGATTCACTGCTATACAGACGCTGAGGTTCTCCTCCATTTAAACTGTTAATATTGTCTATAATAAGTATGGACTTGACTCTCTGATTTCCACTTGGTTTTTTCTTGATTCGAAGCACAGGCGTCACTTGGGATTGCCCAGGGCTTTCCACCCTGGGGCTTGTAACTTGAGAACAAGGATCACTATTAGATTTGTTCCTAAAGGGATCTTTACCTGGAGTTGTAGAGTATGTTCGCATTCTTCTAAATTGTTTATCCATCCTATACTTACGGTAATAGGACTGAATTACATGTGCTGCATGGTGTGCTTTCAGTTTGCCTCCATATTTGCGCTCAAGAAACCTAACACTTTGGTCTTGAAGTTCAGGGCTGAGTTCATACTTCTTTGAGAACGATTTCTGCCGCGACAAGCTGTCATTTCTTTTGACTTGTTTGAAAGTATCCCGCTTCACAAGTTTTGGTGTTCCTCCTGGAGAGTTTTGTGGCGATACATAATTCGCAGTAAAACCATTTTCTGGTGTAATAGTGATTATAGGAGAGCTTGGTAGTGCTTGAGGGGTTGTAAAGACCTCAGAGTTGCTTGAACTTGAAGGATTTCTTTCTGGGGTACCCTGAGATAGTCTCCTGAAGTCTTCAGTTGTACTATATATAATGAAAAAGATATTCTTGAAAACAAAATTCAAGATACCAATTTTCCATATCAGTCTCTATACATTTCTCATTTCTCATTATATAGTGCTAGTTCGGAGAACTTAAATATTCATTTAACAATAAATCAACCAATTACTAGGCTCTATTGTTAATAGAGAGGTTCTCATTGTGCNCCCCCCCCCCTATGGAGGGATTGGAATTTCCTGGAGGGTGGGGGTTCTATGAGACCAAAAAATTTGAAGAAATGTATGAAATGTAACTGGAATTTCCAGAGGGGTGGGGAGGTGTTAGAGAAAATCCCTTCTGTGGGGGAGGTATAGATATTTTCTGGAACTACACATTACTGGTCTGTACACATTTCTTATACTAGCAGTTGGGAGAATTTGACAATGATTTTTTTTGGAGGGGGGGGGGGGGNTTCCAGCAATATCCACTTTATTTAGCACGCGCCAGCAAAGATTATTGCGACATTAAATTTTACCAGTTGGCGTGCGCGCCTGAAATTGAGCAAATAAAAACAGAGTTTATACTATCATGCGCTCCAGGACATAAATTTCAAGTTCTTGAGCTTTAAACCGTGTTCTATAAATTTATAAAAGGTTGCAACAAGCAATGTGATAACTATTTTTTCTCACAGAGCTGATTCTTGCACCCTCCCCAAACTCAGTTAAACACAAATCCTATGAAAATACACATGATGAGCTGAGCTTCTCGACTCAAGCATTTGACTTCACATGTTTTAGATGCTACTAGGACTATTAGAAGAAGCTAAGAAAAACTCTATGTTCACAAAATTGTTTTTTTTTGGGGGGGGGGGGGGTTAAGGGATGGAGTGATTTAACTAACAGCGTCATTTCGTTAGTAATATCTACCACCCTATTCTCTCAAGTTCTCCTCATTTCCTTCTCCCATACCCAACCCACACCCCTGCACACTTTTGAGCATCAACTAATGTGTTGTTCCAGAAAATATCCCAACCCCTCCCATGGAGGTCTTTTCGGTTTGACCTTCCACCCCTACTAATCTCTCAGTTTTGTTTCATACTTTGCTTTAAAAATTTTGGCTTTCAAGGGCCAACCCCCACCCCCTTCCCCTACAACCTGGAATTTTCAATACCCCCTCTTGGGGTGGGTATGGATATTTTCTGAAACCATTCAAAATTTTGTATCACTTTCTTCCCTTCAATTTATTAGCTTTGAAGTTCTATCTGTTGCTAAGCAATGTCAATGATGAAAATCAGAGACTGGTTATGTCAAGTTATTTTGTGACCCCACTGGTGCATATACAGTGAAACTCAATAAACTTTTTTAGCTTGGGCGGTTTGTTGCCCCATTTAAGACCATGTGATAACACTCTTGAGAATTCTTGCTTTCAAATTTTCAAATAGTCACTTGTATATGAATAAATTATTTTGACATGGATAAAAGAACAATTCTCTAGAGAATATCACGTGGTCTGAAAAGGGAAAACAAACCGCTCAAGCTAAAGAGGTCTATAAATTATTATTTTATTTATTTATTATTTTTTTGAGTTTATTTATTCTTTCTCTCCACTCAGTCTATAAATAATATTATGCCTTAGCTTTACTATTCATTTTTATGCCTGGTATTTTTATTATAATTTATTATTTTAACTTTAGAACTGTACTTTTAGCCTTGGTAAAACTGGTGTAGAGGAGAAAGAGAAAAAATCATTGAAAAAGAAAAAGAGAAAAAAATTCTGTTTCCTCAAAATACACTTGCCTGATATACGATATATAAATAAGGAAAAGGCCATCTGCTAAATAATTGATCATGAAAACGTGACTTCATCTATTGAAAATGGCTTTTCTAAAGTTAACTTTCTGAAAAAGCCTGATTTGTAAATAACCAAATAGAAATTAAAGAATTATTGACAGAGGCTACTGTTACATAGTGGGTCTCGATTTCACCTAAAAAATGCTCACAATAAAAACAATTTCCAAAGTGCATAAATAAAAATATTCATAAGTTTAATTGTATTTTGTTTAATGGTTACGATTAAGACGTTTACAAAAAGTCTGGAATTTTTAAGTCCAAACAAAACACACGTGCTATTTTGAAGCCACAAAACAAACATGAAATCGCCCACACATGCATGCCCTGAATGTGCCACATATTACTCTAACGAAGACACCCTCACAAATTAGTATCGAACTTTGATCACAATTATTTAATTTTAATCAATCGCAAATTGAGAAATAACTACGAAAAAACCAAAAACTCATGAAAATAAACAAAGGAAATATTTTAACCGGAAAAGCAATAAAAAGAAAATTGTAAGAAAAACAGATTTAAGCTAATATATTTGTAGAACAAAACACCTTAAAGACATATTGCTCGAGTTTACATCATATCTTATTTCACTAGGAGAGTCTTTCCTCACCTGCTATTGTCATCAGGTACGTTTGTTGCGCTTGTTTTAACGCTCGTCGAGCTGTTAGCTCTTTCCTTCACGATGTAACGACGAAGTTCCTTTCGTTCTTTTTCGAGTTCTTTCACTAAAGACTTGAGACTTTCAATCTCTTGCTTCTGCTCGCGAATAATTTTGTCTTGCTTCCAAATACAGGCTTTCAGGGTCTCAACAAGCGAGTCAACACTCGTCAGAGCGTCCAAAGTGGATTGCATCGAACTCATTTCCTCGTTATGTTGTTAAATACTAGCAATTCAATCACTATGCCAAGCATTGTAGCGATAAAATGATCAATCAATTGCCCGCCATTTTGTTTACATCGTTGGGCGAAGATTCCGCAGCTCTGGAGATTACCACGTGATGCTGAGTAACCAATCGTATTTTAGAACTTGCGACGACGAACGCACGGAAAATTTCCGACGACAGTCGGAAATGTCGTCGGAACTCCACTTCCGCATAAGGAAATTGTAACAAAATCAATTCTTTTCATTTCCTCCCACGAAATCAGTTTTGTCACTAAATTTTTTCCTCGCTTGCAATTCCGATACAGTGAGCTGAGGCAAAAAAAAAAAGAAAAAAGAAAAAACTCCTTGTAAATTCCATTTCAGCCACTCTTACATGGCTTGCTTATCTGCTCTCACAGTTTCCTTTTTTGCAAAATTAAAGAAAAAAATAAATAAATTGTGGAGAAAGATGAATTGACATATCATCGCTTAATGTGTACTGCTTCTAATAATTTTTTCATTTTTATTCACAATAAAAATTGTTACCGGTATGTATTTCTCACTATATATGTTACACAAATTTCTATAGAGTATCCTGTTAGACTATGGGTAACCTCAGGCTTTTCTTGAGCAAGAAGTTCAAACAAATCTCTTATACACAGATGAACCCTGCTATTTCGAACTCTCAGGGGGCATGAAAAATAGTTCGAAATAGCAGGAGTTCAAAATAGCTGATAGTAAATGACTGAAAAGAAATTCAAGGGAAATGGCTTGCAGTTCAAAATAATAGGGAATTCAAAAGAACCAAGTTCAAATTAGCAGGGTCCAACAGTATTGAAAATTTTCATAACTTGCGAAAAGTAAGTGACAATATTTAGAATATTTTAGGTACATTTCAATCCACAGAGAGCACCTCAATATTCAATTTATCTTAATAAATTATAATTTTGAGGTTTTTCAATAAAATAATACTTCGGGCAGAAGTCCTAGACCAAGTAAAAGTCCATTTCCTCTCCTGGGTAAAGAGAGATGCCATGAAAGTGTAAAAGTCACAGGAGGAACTTGAATGTGGGCCTCTGGACATAGAGCCTGCATCATGTAGACCCAAGGGGGGGGCGGGGGGGGGCGGTCTCATATCAAAAGGATTGGAATGCTCATCAAAAATTTTGAAAAGAACCTCTAAGAAGTATCAAGATACTGTTTTGTGGGCATGGATTGAAATTTTTCACCCCAAGGAGGTACCCAATTCTAAAACTAAAACTAACACTTTCACAATTTTTAAGAGTGATAAAGACAATTGCTTTGAATACCTTCTACTCATAAAGTTGATTATCAAATATCTCCTGTCATATTTATTTTTGGCTCAATACCCTAAAAGGTACAGTGAAAGCTCCTGCTGTGGACTTTTTGAGGCTGAACACCAAAAACTGCTCTTTTTAACCCCTAAGAAGTATGACAAGCACCCCCATCCATTTTACATGGGAGTCTGCCCCCTTCCAGGTGTGTTGATGTAAACCATTACATGTAGGCTCCTGTGCATTCCTTTAGTAAACAATGTTTATAGTAAAATACCAACTTCAACAAATAACAAACTGATTAAAATGAAACAAGAATCTCTCATCCCATTGCGATGCATAGGAAGGGATGCAAGTTGGTTTAACCATCTTTTTAATCCACAGACATGATCAAGTTCTGTCTTCTCACAATGAGGGGAGAGTTGAGAAGAATTTAGGGTGCTTATCATTTAGCCAAAAATCCAAAAATTTCAGTTGAAAGTCAAATGGAATGGTAATTTTCTGGAAAATCTGTTCGCAAATTATAGACTATCTCCAGATCTGAGGTACATGTTGTACATGTGTCTTTTTCCATTTGGAACAGAACAGAGGAAATTTCTTTATCATTTGCTACGTTTTCAGTTTCCAGTCTCTCATCAGCCGAAAACAATCACCAGATATCAAATCGTAAATAGTAAATGTCATCTCAGTCAGTTGGTTTGCTGATTTTGGAAAAAAACCTTTACCATTATTCAACCGTCATCCCAAGTGGTTTATTTTGACAAATGGTACATGTAAGCAGCACCCTTACTGACTGCTTAGTAAGGAAGAACTTTGACTGACAAACAAAATTCTTCCACCTGTCACTGTATATAGCAGGTAAGCAAATTAATCTAGATCCAAGTCACTATCACTATTATCTTCCTTTTTAGATGTCACACTTGTAGTTAACTGGCATTCTAACTCCTCTGTCAAAATGTCATTCCTGAAGAAAAGAAAAAAAAACAAGAAACCACTATTTTAAAGAACTAGAGTGATGTTTTTTATGAGTTCAAACCATGTTAAGACAGCAGACTTGTAAAGAAGAATTCCTACACAAAGCACTTGAACAAAGAGATTTTTAATCCCTATAAAATCTGAAAGTTGGGTGCACATGACGTCATCATTTTCTAAAATCCAAAACTAAAGAGCCACCAAAGTTATTATCCTCATCAGGCATAAGAGGGGGAAAATTTAAATCTGTTAACAACTTTTCAGCTCAATAGCTTGCTTCGTTTGAAAAGAGGCACATTTTGAATTTCAGAGTTATGGCAGTGTGTGACATAAAGCTATGAACACATTATTTTGTTGAAAAATATATACTTATCTTGTGATTTTTAGCCTTTTTAGAACTAAAAGTATCAGGAAAAGTGCTTATTTAAAATGTTTACTTGATCAGTTCAGATAATCAGTCACCTATATAGCCAAAGTAAGTTCCAGATGTTTAATACACTCACTATTTTCCGGCCAACATGTTGGTGGAGGTACACCAACATGGCAGCTTGATACTGGGCTCTGTAAATTTGTGCAAAATATTTCAACGAATATTTGAAGTTTGGAAAAACGTACACGAACCTAAAAATGGGGAAAAGGGTCTTCTTTATTTATCTCCTATGACATCATAATTTCTTGACTTTATACACTGAATAGTTTTCGAATTGTTTTTTTTATTGCACGACAGTACAATCCAAGAATACCACTATATTGAACCTATCCTTCTATTGTTGGATCATTCATGAATTTTGCAGTGGAATGCAAAACTAAAATTTCAAGATTGTACAGCTAATATTCAGAGAAGAGTTGACCACAAAAAAAGAAGAAGAGTTGACTATTACTTTAGAGTGAAATAGTTAAAACAAATAAAACTCTCAAATTATCATCAAAAGCACTCACTCAATTAAGAAGCTTTCTACATCTACAGCAAAGAAGTCTTGTCCAAAGGTGTCTTCTAGCTTGACAAAATTTCCAATGATTTGTCCACTTTTGTAAACAAGTAATGCTGGAAGGCCTTCTGAAGTCTGTATAAAAATAAGATCAAAGAAAGGTAAGGAAAGAACATTTGACAATTACTTAAAATACAAGAATCTAGTACACCCCTGCAAACATCATCGCCAGAGTTTTTCTCTATAGGACCTGGTATAAAAGGTACAGTCTGCATAAAAGACAAGTAGCCCATCACGTTAGCGCTTATCTACATTACAGTTTCTGTAGCATGAAGCCACTAGAAGAATTTCTTCTTCCCCCTGGATGGGATGCTGGTCCATTGCGGGGTTAGCCCCAGCATTAAATTTTCCAGTACCCATTCATAAACCTGGGTGGAGAGAGGCACTGTGAGAGTAAAGTGTCTTGCCCAAGAACACAACACAATGTCCGTGGCCAGGGTTTAAACCCAAGACCACTCAATCTGGCGTCGAGCGCACTGACTCTGAAGCCTCCTCACATCCCATACATTTTCTACATAATTCATTTACAATAATGGGGCTTTATGATGGTGTGATCCCAGAGTTCTCATAACATGAGGAAAATTCCCAGAAAACCACAACAAGCAGAGGAAATTCTTTCAAATAAATACTTAGACTTACAAAATGTCTGCTGATTCCTGTATCTCGAGCAATAATCTTGCAGAATTTAACCTAGAATTAAAACAAAACAAAAGAGTAGAGCTCATCATTGATGAGCAACAATTTGACTCCGGGCACTGGAGTCCAAAGTGGTTACACATCCTCTCTGTCACACTCCAGGTTTGCCCCTGGTTTGTAATGCGACAAATTAAATAAATCAAAAATGTTAATTTGAGATTTCCAACTGAAGATTTCAAGTTTAAAATTGAGAGACTCTTAGACCAAAGCCAAGTCAAGAATGACTTGTAATATTCCCAGGTGTCTTCAGTCTTCTTCTCCTTGAAATGGATTGTCTACTTCAGAAAGAGATTCCCAAACATTGTGATTTCCTGTACACATGTATGGAAGGGGATTCCCCCATTTCTAGGAGGTTCTAAATTATCAGTCTATGGAAGGGGATTCCTCTAAGGGTGAAGTCCCCATATTAGACATTGCCCATTTCAAGTGAGATCTGCCAAATGACGAGGGAATCGCCACTCAAAGGAAGATTACTACTATGAAGGGATATTGCCCAGTAATGATTTCAGTATTTACCTACCAGAGAGTATTGTTGAGCTAAACATTGGAGACAGCCATTCATTGCCCTGCAGCTTTGAAGGTCCTATGCATGCAAGTAAAATAACAATTAGGAGTATTGAGAGTTACAATGAAAGCTCTTAGATAACAAGTTCAAATGTTCAAATTGACTGGACTTCATAAACGACTTTTGGCTTAAGCCCCACACAGGCGTGTACTAAGTACCACAAATTCAACAGTTTGCCTAAAATTATGGATAATTAAAGCAGCTCTGTCACAGCATTTTGAGTTATTTCTGCCATGTGCAAAATTACCTTTAAATTAAAGGAAACCTGAAAATAATAGTCTACTAATGAACAATAGATAAGCACTTAAGGGGAATACCTTAAGAGATACTTATCTAATAAGCCATAAACGAACAAAGATGATCAAGGATGGAGAAGATTGACAAAGATTACAAATGACAAACTTAAAAAATTTAGGCTAAACTTTTCAAGATGCACAAGCCATTAAATCATGCATATACCTCATAAAATAACGTTCTTGTTTCCCACCACTTGCATTATACAATGACTTTGCTCATTACAAACCCTTTCCATATGGTGCAAATACAGACTAATCCATCTGTTCGGAGATTTCTAGTTTTTTCTTTGTTTTCCCACTGACATTTCAACTACGAAACTAAAGAATGGATTTTGCGCACTGCATTACCTCACTATAAAGATGAACCACCACTATCACGCTTGGATTTTCTTTATCTATAGCATCAAGGAACTGATGTTTGTCCAGTAGTGTGATTACTTTTCCAAATTTGGGTCTGAAGTAAAAGAAGCATATTGTCTTGATAGAACACCTTGATGCTCAGAACTAACATTAAATAAAGAATCATGGCAATCAGAAGAATAATAGGACAGTTTGAGATTGTGGACAAAAAGGTAAATATCTGAGTATGTACTTGCCGAAAAAGGTTATTAATAATAATGATTGTGTATGCATGCATCTGGTGGCTCATCAGACTGATGGTTATCACCAGTTTCGATAGCATGAATAGGAATATCTCTACTGCCCCCTGGGCGGCATGGTGGCCTCATGGTTAGTGCACTCAACTTTGGATCGAGTGGTCCGGGTCCGAGCACTGGCTAGGGACATTGTGTTGTGCTCTAGGGCAAGACACTTTACTCTCGCAGTAACTCTCTCCCCCCAAGTGCATAAACAAGTACCAGTGAGTTTAATGCTAGAGGGTAACCCTACAATGGAAGCGCTCAAAACAAGTGCTGTCTAGTCATCCTGGGGAAGTAGATTTTCCTTCTGGACAAGTAGTTTTTCATTTCCACTTGTCCAATGGGCAGGGAATCAGGCAAGTCTTCTGCCATCTAAAGGATTAAAAGAGTAAATTAAGACTTGCTCAGGGCAAGCAGAATTTGAGAGCTTCTTGTCCCAAGGGCAAGCTGGAATTCAAGTTTTTTTCATGTGGCTAAATGTAATTTAGGCAAAGTTAAATTCAAAACAATGTTGCTGGCCAGCAGCTTCTCATGGCAGGATTGTGCGGGGGAGGTTTCAGATATTACGCAGGGCTGCCAGTATTTTATGGTTGGGCTTCAGGTGTACTTATTGCACGTGTTTTCGTCATGTTGGCTTTGTGCTGGTTGACTTTTTCCCAGCCTACCCATCCCTCCTTTATTTTCTTCTCATGGTAAGTATAGGGTAAGTATTCACTGCTTATCAGTGTGACAGTACCCTGGTGGTGTCCACTCACAGGGTTGTCATGGAGACCCTATGTGCTCAGTTCAGATTGCTCTAGGTGCCATCTTCTAGGCACCATTCCTCAAGCTCATCTATTGTTGATGAGTTAAATCAAGTTCTGATCGATTAGCATCCCATCCAAGGGGGAGCAGAAATACTCCTGGTCACTTCATGCTACAGAAACTGGAGGTAAGTCCCAGCCTGATGGGTCACTGCACCCTGCCTGTCACAAACATCTGAATATGCAGCTAACAGAAAGGGTCACACACCTGTTAAAGTGAAGCCTCTGTTCTTGTTCTTCTTTCAGCTGCAGCAATCTTTGTAAGTGATATTGTTGAATAAATTCATCGGTGTCAAGCTCTAGTTCCTTAAGGAGTTTTTTTTCTCTCTCATCATCAAGCTATTCATGAGTAAAAGAGGATTAAACATACATGAATTACATTCCACATTTCTGAAAGACAGGCAGTTTGAATCAGTGCTTAGCTTTTAGGAAGAAATTGAAGCTAACAGAGATGAAGTGGGGGTTGGAAGCAGTGTTACAAGGATCTGGAATCAGAAACTAAGTTAAATATATTGAAGTCAAACTACAGCGAAGACAAGAGATTGATGTTATGGTTCAATATTACCTTTGGTGCAATTTCATATAATAAAATTATTATATAATTATATATTATTATAAACAAGAACAAAAGAACATGTTGTTGTACCAAGGCTAAAATTGAACCACAACATTGATAGCATGGAAATGATGAGGGTCAAAGGTAGGCAAAGTCTGCATCTGAGCAGGGTGGCCCATGAGGCTTGCGCTTATCTCCAGATTCTATGCAGCTTAAGGCAACTAGGAGTACTTCCGTTCCCCCCTGGATAAGATGCTTATCCATTATATTAAAGTCACCGGTTCCCATTTATACACCTTAGTAGAGGCACTGTGAGAGCAAAGTGTCTCGCCCAAGAACACAACACAATGTCCATAGCAAGGGCTTGAACCCTGACCGCACAATCCAAAGTCAAACATTCTGACCATGAGGTCACTGTGCCTCCATGAACCAGTCTTGAGGAACAATATAGAGTGCAGCTAGGGTTCACAAGTTCCTTCTGCTTCTCATATCCTATAATCTTCTTCTCTCTGGGTAAATGGGTTTAAGTACAATAATTCACTAACACCTGACAAAAATGCATTTAACTTTCCCTGTACTTGCCATATCAGAGATCCTGCTTCCCACCATTTTCTTCTCCTGTTTCCCGTATCCTTTCTACTCCTTTTTTCCCTGATGTCTGGCAACAGGTTCATATCCTGCAACCACCCCACCCCATTTGCAGCTTGTACACAATTTAAAATTACAGCATTAAAGCGACCTCAAAGTTGAGAAAACAAAGAGACGTAGGTTTACCATAAGTTACAATCCCAAACGCACGCTAAAATAACAAATTTTAGGTGGTTAGCAGTTAATATACTTTTTCTTCAGCAAGATTGACTTACACTACTTTGACAGGAAACAGAAAACTTCTGTGCTAAAGATCTCATCTCTTTTTCTTTCTCTTTGCGTTGCTCTGTCTCAAGCTGCTTATAACGACGATAATCTTGAATAACACCTTTAGGTCCTGTCTGAAAACAAGCCAAAACCCATGTTCTTTAATTCACTGATACCCAAAATGGTGCCAGTTACTCATACAGGCTGCCCAAATGAGCAAACATCTTCTCCCATACCGAGCTACATGTAGACTGCTAGAAGTCTCTATAGAGGAATTTTTGAACAAAACAGAGACTGCTCCAAGTCTAGTTCTGAGCACCTGATATGGATTTTTTGGGTTCCCAAAATGCTTACTTTATTGTTTTAAAGTAAAGGTTAACCATGCTTTTGACCCTAGTAGCCCATAAGGCTGCTACCTATGTGTTGAATCTGTAGTATAATGTGACTTGAAGTAATTTTTATTCTTTCCCGGATGAGAAGTTAGTTCATTCTAGACTTACATCAGTGATAAGGATTTCAGTGTTTCAGTTCATCATAAAAGAAATTGAACAAAGTAACATTATTTTATTTTACTTCAGTGTTGAAAACAGTATGCAATACCAAGGCATCTTTCTGTGAACGAGGTCACAAAAGGAAGTGATTTGGCTTAATAAAGGTCTCAGTGTTCTACCACCCTAACCAAAATAAGCTTCCAATAGATGTCCCTCCACACGCTTTTTGATTTTTTTGTTTTGGTATTTTTTTGTATTTCTCTTTTTTTTCATGAACCCACTGGCTTGGAAGAATGGGCAACTACACCCTGTGTCATGACTTTAAATAAATTGTCACTATTATTACTATTTAAAAAATAACCCTATGTAAATACATGTGCTGATTGGTTTAAAATCGTGTTTCTATTAAACAATTAGATTATGAGCTCGAGATTTCTATGAGGCGATAGTTGATTCGGCCTTTGACCTCATCAACTATCCCCTCATAGAAATCTCGAGCTCGTAATCTAATTGTTTTAGTAGAATTCTGACTGAAATTTCCTTCAAATGACGATTCCAATTATTTCTGATCTTAGTATTAAACTTTACGCTTTAGAGAATTCATGCGGACTGATTTAATTGTCAATTTGACAGTTGTAGTTGTGTAAGCACGCTTATCAGTTTCTTTAAAAAATTTCGAGCTTTTTTAATCCAAGAAACCGTAAATGCCGTCCTTTTAGTTTTCTCAGGAATTTTGTTTATTTGTTTGTTTCTAAAATGTTCTTTTAACACTTCTCAGAGAAACGAGGAAACATTGCAATTTTGTGGACCACACCAAGCCACTGCACACTAATAGCTGATAGTGTGCAATGGCTCATCCAATCAGATTACAGCATTTGCATTAGTATACTACAGTATTCTACTAAAACTCGATAGAAACACAGAACTAGCACGAGCTGTTGACGTAATAATGGCACAAGAAAAGAGAATTTACATTTTGATGATCAAAGTAAATGAGTAGTTTTCTTTGCTTTGGTTGTGGAATTTTCTAAAAGAAATAGACGACATGTTGTCCGTGTTTCTATTGAGTTATAGGAACACTCATGAAAGTTTGGGAGAACTCGGAAAAAGCTGTGGAAATACTCATCTACAGTTCAAGTTCCCACAGCATTTCTCGTTCTCCCAAACTTTCACTTGTGTTTCTATTAAAAAATTAGATTATGAGCTTGAGATTTCTCTTGTGTGATAGTTGACGAGGGCACAGCCTGAGTCAACTATCACGCAATAGAAATAAAGAGCGAATCATCTTATTGTTTCAGTATAAATCTACTAGTCGTTCAAAACTTTATCTAAATCCTCTTCACAGACAATTCGAAGATGCCAAGAAACGGCCATCATTTTGTTAACAAGGTCACACAGTTACGCTCCTCACTATCTATCACCAAATAGATAGTGAGTAGCATAGCCAATTAGAGAATGGCATTTGTGACAGAACACGAGATAATTTATACTAAAACTCGTTAGAAACATGTCACATGTTTTCTATTTCCTAAATACCATTACCCCTCATAGGGCTGGGTCCTTCACAACTGAGGAGCAACGATGTTTACTACTTGGGTACAGCAAGCATTAGACAGAAATGTAAGAGCTAGCTGGCTACAAGTCAAGCTCATCAACAGCTGAAGTATCACTAGAAATCAAAGACTTCAAGGTACACAGCTGGCCAGACAAGCCGGCTATGCTTGTTCGTCAACCTATATCCAGTTTAGTTTTTTCTTAGATACTTCCCTGATCATGAATATTTTTCTGGAATGTTTTGGGTGACAACAGAAAATAAGTATTTTTAGCATAACCTCGGATAGATTGGTTTCATGGCAGTTTGAAGTTATTTTCTCTTTTTTATGCAATCGTGTGAACTTCTTGTCAGATGAAACCATGACAAAAGTAGTCGTGATTTCAGTATAGCGGCCCCCCAGATTCTTTTATTAGCTAACAGCAAAAGAAGGGAGAAATGTATGGGTAAGCAAATACATAATTCTGTTGGCTTAGGTCTTATGACAATCAAGAAGCAGAAAATAAGCATATTTCAAAATTCTGCCAATCGAATGCTCACCTTCGGAACTTCCAAGCGAAAATCTGGTGGTGCTGCTATATCGCCAAGATCAATTTTATCGTCTCTGCTATCCTCTCCGCCTGAACTCTTCTCGTCGTCGTCTTCTCCTTCACTCTCGGAGCTTGATACATAGTTTTGGGTCTTCAATCCAAGTAGTTTATCGTCTAAAGTCGTCATTTTTTTTACGAATGTCGAGATTTTTGTTCGAACTGTCTGGAAAGGAAAAACTGAGTCATCGTTTTTCTTGATCAGCGGTAAGTACCGCTTAGAAGATAGTTGTGGGTGTAACAGTCATGTAGTGAAGGATGGGCTGGCTGGGGGTCTCCCCCGCAAAAAAAAAAAAAAGGATTCTTCAAATGACACAAAAACATACAGAACTTGTGAATCGATATCATAAAACCCTAAATTCCTTCAAGTCCTCCTAATATGAAAGGCTTCCGGGCAACTTGTTATAGTCAGCCCCACCACTGGAGTACTTGGCTATTTTTTTTATACCCTCGCTATTTGCCTCCTGCAACGTTTTCTTTTCTGAAGTAATATACCAAGCATATATTGAACTTTGCATGACAGATTTTACCAGAGCTCTTGATGTTGATCAGTTGCCTTAGTGCCGATTGATCTGGAATATCCTAGAGCCAATAAATTGGGTTGCGGTTTAGAAAAAAAAAAACCTGAAGAAATAAAGAAGTGATAAATATGAACAGAGCTTGAAACAACAGCAACAAAATTGGGCTGGGCAGAATCTTTGCTCCCACGTGCAACAAACACGTTCCCGCGATAAACGCAGCATCTTCCGGTGTACAAGGACTTCCGTTGGGTAGCTGACCGGTCCCGTGAATAGCGTAGGCTACGAGCGCATGGGTTAGGCATTATGCATGAGAAAGAAAAATTGGTCTGGGATATTCTTAGAACATCCATATTTTGTTGCTATTTTAGAATGTCTGCTTCGGTTACGTTCCTCGGCATTTTAAACAATGCAGAGAAATTTAAAATGGCTGTCACCGGATAGACTTAATTCACTTTTTTCCTCGTGGGAAAACCTAACTGGGTTCTGCGCGACACTGAACTGGCTTTTTATGTCTGTTTCGGCTGCTTTCATAGCCTGCAAATTTAGGTCTATTGAGTTATTATTGAAAACAAGAAACGACGACAACAGCAGCGACTGCTTTAAAAAAAAAAAAGCGATTGCTTTTATGAGCCACAGAAAAAAAGTAGATCGAAAAACTCGAAGCGACTTTCCAAGTTGCCGGTTCGATTTAAAACAGTTTCACTTACTGACAACTCCGTAACTCCGCAAGAAAACAGAAATCGGATTTTTGAATTTTAATTAAACGTATCAAAGAAACAGTTTCGGGTGTGTATCTTTTTATATATGTATTATATAGAAGTCATATCTAAATAAATATATATTTCTTTATGTTCAAGACTCCCTGGTGGGAAGTCAATAAACTGTGCATTTCTTGTTCGAAGGGGTAAGGGAAAAGTGGACGTTGTTCGTTAAAGCGCATACATTAAGTCTTCCTTTATCATGTTTGCTAACCATTAGCAATGAAAGATTGACATGTAAACCGCCAAGTACTGTTATGGCTTCCTTACAAGGTCGGAATTCGAACTAGTGATCGGTGACATACAAAAGAGCTCGTCAAACACACTTTGACCAACGACTTCCGGTATTTGCACCGGTATTTCCAATTATGGACACCCACGCGATGTGATAATAAGTTAGGATATTGCATGACTTTTGCTTCAAAATGTCCAGAAATCGTATACAGGATAATAAACGGTCAGGTTTTCGTTAAAAAGTGATCAAAATCTAATTTTAGCGTGACTTTGGTTGATTTTTTTCACGTTCGCGTGAAAATTAAAGGGTTTTCTTTTCGACGGGCGTTTTGTTTTCCAAACTTGATGACTCTTCGAGTTTTTATGCGGAATTAGATTCCGTGTTTCGGTTGGCAACGAAAACCACAAGAGATGAACATTAATCTGATATTATTAGTTCCAAAACTATTGATTAATCGTACACGAAACACGATCATATGACGAACCTTGTGTAAACCACTTTAATCAAGACCTAACTTGTTTGTGTACTACGGAGCTTGTGAGATAGCAATGACCGTAATTTCTAATTTTGTCCACCATCCCTGAACTGCAAAAAAGTTTTTCGTGTCTGGGTCAAACATTTGTTATTGCTGAAGGCTGATCTCTCCCCTCCCAATGCTGGGAAACTTTTTAACAGATGACCACTACCAAATAAAGCGCTCTTGATGAAACAAACCGCAAAATATCGAAGCCTTCTTCCCTCTCGTCAAATAATATCGTCTTTATATTTGAATCATTTTGCCCTGATTGACGTTTTCTTCATCCACGTTAAGAAAGTTCCTGATCCGAGTGCAGATCTGTTTTACACTGAAATCTTCGCGCGTTGACCTTTATAATGGACTTTTGGGAGCAATAGATACTGAATAGACGGGCTGACGTAAAATTACAGGGGTTTGGTTTACACGTCATATCCGTGGAATTTTTGCGTAGAGTCGCCAGGGGAAAGTCGATACAGTCATCCGCCTGTCTGCACCAATGAAATCTAGTCCTTCTAGAAGATATAAATTGAGACCAAGGACACAATTGTACATAGAAAAATAATTAAGTTTTCTCGATCACTATAGAAATGTGTGATATGCATTCATTGACCGGATTAGACAAAGCCCTTGAGTGATTGCTATCAGACTCGACCAATCATACGCTGAAGAAATGAACTAATTTCAAAGGTCAGCGGTCCATGTGCTGCACATTTCCTGCGAACGAAAAGGTGTTGTTTGACTGGAAGGAGCAACTTTTTGAACTTCTTTCCTTCTTTAGTATTTACAAACAAGACGCGAGAGAGCGCGTGCAAGCACTGCTTACATTCTGGAGTGGACAGATGCCGTTTTAGAAACTGCCACACGTCTTAGATTCTTATCAACTAATTGATGACTTGGGAACTCATTTGTCCATGAATGAAAACGACGTGACAGCAATCACCAAGAACCAATATCCAAGTATTTTGTGAAATTCGACCCTGGAACTCTAGCCCAATTAAGCGGCGGACGAATTCTTTGAGCGATTGAAATCACGAAGCCAGTGTCTTTGTTTACGGGCAGCATCTGTAAAAGTCTCTCTTCAGATCTTCTCAACTTTACACTACCATCGAAGAATTGCGTGTAGCCGTAACTAGTCTAGCGGAGCGCGATTTCTTCATTAGCGTGTTAAGCCAGTCGGATTGGAATGCCATCGATGTATGGACATCTTTCAAGGTGCCAACGTGGTGTGAATTTCATCCTCTTTCAAGGTTCTTTGTGAAACTCAACTGTTGGTGACATAGTGACCAGAAGTTTAAGCAGCGATCCAATTGAATGCAATGTTGATTTTTGTACATGTAAATTGGCGAGTGCTGAATTGATAACTCAAATGCAGCATATACAAACTATGGCATCTCCGATTAAGCGAATCATGAGTTTACGGGAGACGAAATCAAATGTTGTGGACGATTCGTCTCCTTCTCAGGCTGTTAATCGAAAGCCGAAATTCCTTAAAATTTTGCGGAGGCCTTCCTTCAATCAAGGAAGAAAACGAAGCACCGAAGAACGGGATAATCGTGTCGCGAACGAAATGGCGGATGATCAACAGAATGTGGCGAAGCCGGTCGTTAAATCGCCCAACCAAACACGAGACTTAGAAGCTTTTCAACAGTACCACAAAGAACTGCGAAGCGCTGTGCAATATTTCATCCTCGTCGTGGACAAATTCAAAACCAACATGGACATTGTCATGGCTAAAATTCCCGATAACACTTCCATAGTGTTGGAATCAGTCATCAATATCGATAATATGCTAGATACTTGCCTACGGCTTCACAGCAGCAATCGGGATTTGATGCCGCACAGAATGACAATTCATAAGCGTGTTGCAGAACTCGTTCGCTGGACCGACCAGCTCTTAGTTCGAGGCAATGTGAAAGGAAATCTCGAAGAAGGCGTCGAATTTGTCAAAGAACTCGATGCGAGCGTGAAGGAATTAGTTGATTTGGCAATACCTCGGCTGAGGAAACGTCAAGTGAACGACGAAATCAGAAATTCTATTTTCATGTTCGAGGGGAGCAGTGAAAGCATTCAAGTCGGCGAGGAAAGTTCCGATTTCGGACACTCGTCTAACCGAAGAGATTCTGGAATAAGTGAAGGAAGTCTAATTGATGGAACTGCTCAAGATTCCAGCTCTTCACGGGCTTCCCCTTCAACTTCCCGTGATTCGGGTCGTGGTTCTTACAACTACATCCTTGATCAACCTGATTCAGCTCCTCATACTAATGGCTTATTAAGCCCACCAGAACCACCAGTGAGAGGACGTCATTCATACAGAACCACGTCAAGTTATAACCAAAGTAATGTTACTTTGAAGAACTCTGATTGGTCACTGAGCCAGGCGAGTGACACATCAAGCTATCGCTCCCTTCCACAATCACCCATTAGTTCACAAGAAGAATTTACTGGTCATGCATACCTATCCGCTGCAAGTTCCATAGAGGAAGGCTCATTCTACTCTGCCGATGAGAATGATCATATGCCATCATTTGAAGAACCAGATTGTCCTATTATCCAAGCAGATTTTCTGGGATACGTAGAGAACCATGAACCATCGAGTCCTAAGAAGAAGACAAAGTCATTTCAAGTGTACATTGAACTTGTTGGAAATTACACTCAACCTTCTGATGGGATCTTACGGCGACCATCGTCAGCCTATGATGGTTACCAAGAAAATTTTAGGAGGAGCATTGCGACCAACAATTCACCCACCTCACCAGTGCTGAAGAAGGAAATGTTTGCTTTTCGAAATGTCACTGACTCTGAACGTTCCCATTCACTTCCAACCCTTCAAGGACATACAGGGAAAGTTATGCCGTCAAACCAACTCCAATCCAATGGTGCCCTTGACTGGAATAAGAATGTTCGGCCTGATTCTCAAAGAAAGAAGTTACTTCCACTTGAAGAGGAGCGATGTCGAAAGAGAAGTAACGCCAGCAGCAGCTCGAGCAGTTTGAGTGGGACGGAGGACGAGGACGTTAACACCCCTGCCCTGGACTGCCTGGATGTTTCTAGGTTTCTTGTTTATCGCAATGAAGATGATGGTCCTTCACTGATTGGTGGTGCCATTGATGCCCTGATTGTCCATGCCAGTGGTTCTACCAAGAAGGACTTGGTCTATTACGAAGCTTTTCTTACCACATACAGAACGTTCATCTCCCCCAAGGACTTGATAACCAAACTTCTCTACAGGGAGAGAAGGTTTCGTGAGAAGGGTTGCAAGAAAGCAAGCCAAAATGCTTTCTTCTTGCTTTTGCGAGTTGTTGATGAACTGACTGGGAAAGTCGAGAGGAGCATCTTGGAGCAGTTAATGAAAGAAGTCTATCGCCTTCTCGTCAATGGCGACATAGTCCTTGGGAAGATTCTCCGGGACAAGATGCTGCCTAAATGTGAGAACTACTATCGTTCACGTACTTCATCAGCGATAAGTCATCCCATGGCTCCTTTGGATCCATCCCAGAAATACACTGTCTTGGATTTTCATGCTGAGGAACTGGCAAAGCAGCTCACTTTAATTGATGCAAAGAATTTCCACAACATCGAGATTCCAGAAATCCTTGCTTGGGGTAAGGAGCAAAAGGAAGAATTGTCACCAAACTTGTGCATATTCACAGAACATTTCAACAAGGTTTCCTATTGGTGCCGCACCCATGTTCTCTCCTTTGAGAAACAGAAAGACAGAGAGCAAGTCTACGTCAAGTTTCTGAAGATCATGAAGCATTTGCGAAGGTTCAATGACTTTAATTCTTTCTTTGGAATCTTGTCTGCATTGGACTGTTCTGCGGTCAGGAGACTCAACTGGCCAAAGCACTTGCCAGAGAGCTTGTCTGAGTATACGGCATTGCTTGACAGCTCATCGTCATTCAAGGCTTACCGTGATGCCTTGGCGGCAGCAGAGCCTCCATGCATCCCATATCTTGGACTCATTCTTCAAGATGTCACTTTCGTTTACCATGGCAATGCCGATGAGCTGCCTGACGGCAAAGTGAATTTTGTCAAGAGATGGCAGCTTTTTAACATTGTGGACAATGTGCGACGATTCAAACTAACTTCTTATGAATTTGAATGGAATGATCAGATTGCGCAGCTGTTTGCTGGAATGGACAATTTCTTGTCAGAGGAGGATTTGTATGACAGGTCTCTCAAACTGAAGCCTCGGGAGTAAACCCATCTTATGTAGGCATGACTGAATTTTAGTTCAAGTTTGCTACACTAGTGCACTTTTTACTCCAATTTTTTTTTTAATCCAAGCAATATAATACATATAGCATTAAGCTTTCCATTATCAAATTCCCCTGCAAAATGTGATTTTTGTTTTTTTTTTTTAATTGCATTTTTCCCATGTTCGATAGTCTTGTGCAGTTACATGAAATTATTTTTCATGTGTAAAGTTTAATATATTTGATGCAAGACACAATTGGAAATGTTCTGGGAAAGTTTTTACGGGTCAAATCAATTACACAAGACTCTCTGTTGGTATAACTGCATTTAAATCAGGTTGCTGCCTAGATAACAATCCTAGAATATGTACACATAGGGTGAGATTTCAGGACTTTTAGTCTTGTCATTCCACTGAGCTGAAAGAATTCCACATTGACCTAGCTCCAAAGAGTTGTTAGAAGTTTACTTGATTGGCCTTTTGCAAACAGAAAATCCCATGGCGCAACAAGGACGGACGATCATGATGATGATGATGATCTTGTTTCCTCAAGGCATTGAAACCTAATTGAAAATGCACTCCTGATCACAATATAGCTGCCGAAAATTGGTCACGAAAAATCAAGTTATTGCAACCTGAAATCTTGAAGCAAAAAAGTTTACAGAGAGTCTAAGTTACTGCCATTTGGTTCGAATTATTCTCTTGAAGTTAATATCTTTGACTGTCCTGGTCACTTTGTACCTATCATATAGGAACACAACTAGTGTTACTTAATTTTAATGAGGGCTTTGTTTTGGTATGCAGTCATTCAACAGAGGCTCTTGATGTATACAAGACATTTTTGAGACAGAGTTATTATCCGAGTTACTGAAGCGAAGATTCGCAACAAATCGCCAAAAAAAAGTGTTTTAGCCCATAAGAATTGTTTTATGTTTTTATTAGCAAACAGACCTACTTATAGGGGTGGCGAATGGTACATAGAAAAATATTGGATCTCAAAAAGTTTTGATCCAATCTCAAATCTAGGAAGCTTTTCTGATGTGCTGTGAAGTCTCATTTGTTTGTGTTTCTTTTGTCTTGGCATGTAAAATCGTTTTAGTCTCAGTCTTGGATTTTTAAACTAGGGTCTTGACATCTTGGCAAGTCTCTGTTTGTACCATTCGTCGCCCGGCCTTAATTGTAGAAACTTAATTATCTTTCAGCATGTATTCTGTAACTATTAAGAACCTCCCAAGGTTTTATCAGTATCATTTGCAGGTGTAGATGTAGCAAATTTCTCAGGAGTTAAATGTTTATCCACTGTATAGATAGTCTTCTTGCATACAGTAATATTCTTATATTGTTTTTACCCAGACAGCAATATTATTTATGATGTGAGAGGTCAAAGCTTGCATGCTATGGAACAGTTGCTACTTTCAATCACCTAGGGGTTTACAGCAAAATTAAGTGTAATTTATTTTGTGCAATGAAATCGTGAGCAAGAGAAGGTTTTGCAGTGTTTTTAATTATAATTTAAATGACTTAAAAGATAACCTATTTTTGTATTTTTACAAACAAATCTGAAGGCACTTTTGGCTAAGTGTAAATTGATCACTTCTGATCTAAAAATAGTGTTGTGTACTCGAAAAAGGTGCCTCATCCAAATGAAATCATTTTCTGTGACTTTTATTTTCAACAAGTGGAATTTGCAAAAGTATTAATTTTTTCTTAAATAAATCAAGTTTTGCTTTAAGTCAAAATTGCTACACAGCAGGAAACAAGAAATCTTATTTGCCCGACTGATCTCATCTAAAAAAATATTTCAGTGTTACAAAGTCTGATTAGAACTCTTGGAGCATTTCCTTCTTATAGTTTTCAATAACAAAAGAATTTTTTACCTGAGAACTTGGTGAACATAAGTAAATAATAAGTTTAAAAGCTGAAAATGCTTCTGCAATGTATGGCAAAGGTTTTGATTGCTTAATATTTTGTTACATTTTAACTCTAAGGTGCCAATTCTGTTATGCAATTCAAAATTATTTTTATGAATGAAAAGTTACAATAACTCGGTCACAATAGGAAACCATTATAAGAATAGATAAGATATCAAGCTTATTTAGTTTCCCGTTTTGATTGTAATCAGTTTTAAGATCTTAAAAAGGAAGTTTTAAAAAGCCACCCATTACCTCTAATTAAATTTGTAAATAATTTACATTTGTCTAACCTGTGATGAATAATTACTACCAAACAAAAACTTTTTTTATATATTAAAACAATTTTGAAGTAATTGCTATGTGTGGCTTATTTTATTGAGTTGTGCATTTTAAATTTTATGGAATCTGTAACATAAATTAGTCAAAGAATGTCGGTTTTGGAACAGAAATACAACGTATTAACGACCTGTGCTAGATGGTTATCAGAAAATACTAAGATTTATCTCATGACACAGGAGAAATGTGAAACATCTAGTACACTCTTGTGACTCTGTTGTTTTTTTTATCCGTTTCTTAATTTAGAGCGAACTTCAGGAAGTACGTTTAGAAACTAAGGCTTGATTTAAAGTATTGTTTCTCATTTTGACTTTAAAAAAAATATTTAAGAAAGGAGAATGGTCGTTTATTTTTAAGCTGGATTTTGGAGATTACTGATATAGGCTTTTGGCGGCTAATCCTTCTTTGCAGTGAGTTCTTAGCAACTTCTGCTATGCCCAAACAGTCAAATCCTTGACTTGTAATGAGCTCATTTTCTTCCCACAGAGATCTCTTAATAGAAAACTTAAACTGGATGACTCTCCGAGTATCTTTGCTTAAGTTGAAATCAAATCGACGCCGGTTAACGAATTGGCAGTTACAAGCTTGCTATTCAACTAAGCAACACCGTGAACTATGAAGCCAATTCATAACATTTTAAGAAGTGATTGAGGTTTTCTGACGAACGCTAGATTTTTGTTTACCGAATTGAAAGGAACCACTTTCTACAATACATTACGGAAGTTTCAGATTTCATTTTAAGACAGAAAATCTATTTTTACAGAACAGAGCCCGGTGCAAGACGACGAAAAATACCTTTGCATTTCTTCAATACCTTTCTAAACAGCTGAATTCAAGTTCTTAGAATTTTTTTTTAATTTGAAATAATTGAGTTCTGTCGTTGACAGATAGTGAACTAACCTAAATTTTTCTGCCTTATGGTAAGTTATTTTGTTACACAAATCAGAATTAAAGTTATTGTTACAAGATCAAAGCTAAAAATACCATCAAAGCACTTTCATATTTACCATTCAAGGTCAGTTCGTGACATCCCAAACATTTTGATTTCTGTTAAAGCAAACGGGAACATATTAACAATTGCTGTTGTGAGGCTTGAGGTAAAAGGCTTGTTTGACAGAGATAATACTCTAAAAAGTTCCATCTTCCTCTGAAAAACCTAATTTTTGGTGTTACACTAAAAAAATAACGTGCAACTCCCTTGGCTTCATAAGTGAAAAATTCAAATTATGTGTCTTGATTGAAAAGATACTTGACAAAAACGCGAATGGAATGATAATTACGCTCCGTTGGGAAAACCCATTTTAGTGGCAAAAGTTACCGTGTAGGGAGGTGTGGGGAAACAACATACCATAACAGAGTCAACGGAGCGAATCGTCGCGTCGGTCACGAAAACACGAGGCAGGGAATATAAAGGCCTCAAAACACGAGTGAAATATGTCAAATATTGCACGCCACTTTGCACGCAGCAGTTTGAGACACGCTATAACTTTGCGCGCAACATTTTTAACTTTAACATAACCAAATGTGACGACGGGAGCTACAGTCTTGATCAATTTAAATGAAAAATTTAGAACACCCTTCCCCCATTTGAAAGATGAAAAAAAGAGAAAAAAGAAATGGTACGCCGTTGGGTTTAGCGCTAGTTCATTATTGATTTGGAAAGAGGGGTTGTTATATTTCTCCTTTTATTCCGACCATGATTTGAAATATCGCAAATGTTCAGTACTTTTGAGGTCGAAGGAAACAGATCTTAAGATTGACAGCCACATATTGACACACGCACAGTGTTTCGAATAAACTATAATCTTGCCTGTACGAGAAAATTAAGACCACCCCTCCCCCGTTTCCTTGGTGAATAAGACGGCGCGTACGAGTTCATGAAATTATTCCCCGAGTGGTTCTATTTCCCTTGTTATTCCAAGAGTGTCGTTAAAAGTTGAAATTGCTGCGCTGCAAAATTCCGTGTCCACCAAATATGGCTGCGCACAGTTGTGAAAAAGTGATACAACATCTCTCTCCTTCTGCGACTTCGCGCGCAACTGTTCCTCGTGTCCCTTATCCACATGCGCGTGCAAAGAGGTGGCACAATTATCAGCCATTGCCTGCCTTCTGGCTATCCAATCTCAAACCAAACGCAACGATCTGTTTATTTTTTAAACTCTTCTTCCTTGAGAACAAAATAACTAAACAGCTGTTTGGATACTTGTTCAGGCTTAGTTACCTTCGCAAATTAAGTAACTGTTAACACCAAAACTCGCCTGCCGCGTCATTTACGCGGCAGGTTATGCCCAGGCTTGAAAGCTGTTGCTGCGCGCAATAAATATAATTCCAGGGCTGGGACGCAACATGCAGACAGTTCCTTGTCAGGAGTTCTAAGGGCCTGTTTACAAGGAGGGAGGGTTACCCTAGCAAGCGGGTTAACCCTAGGCTGGAGGGCAAAAGATACCCCAGGTAGGGTAACCCTACAACCCGTACCCGGGACAACTTCATGCACGGTTACACTCAACGGGTCTGGGAACAAGAGAAAGTTAACCCGGGTAGGCGGGTTAGCCTTACCTGGAGTGTTTACAAGGGAAAAAGTTAACCCGCCTGCCAGGGTAACCCTAGCACGTAGATAGGGTAACCCGCCTACGCAGGTAACCCTGGCTGCCTTGTAAACACGACGAAGGAAAAAAGAGGAAATTTGTGAGTGCTGGGGTAACCTGCTTGCTAGGCCCTAAGATATCATGACAATTCAGTGACCGAACAATGGATTATTTAGACAAAAAAAGCTGATGCTATATATGAACCGGGTATATGAGCTTATATTACATTATCTCCTGATTATGTGAAGCTACACACACCAAAAAATGTACTGGTCCCAGCTAGTCTAGATCTCTTGTAGTCCCGCATAGTTCAATGGCAGAACGCCCTACTGATGCGCTCAACACCGAAAAATCTTCTTGTCTTCGAGAAGCTTGCGGCGTCACTGACTGCTTAACACCCCCCGCCCTTTCTGAGGAAAACCTGAACGTAAATTAGTCCTCAGACAACGTGAACTAGATAATCTTGACATAAGCACTGATTCATCCTAAAGATCGAAATCACCAATTTCATGAAATTCTGCACAATCGCAAATTCAATCTGCTCTGTTCTTGCGAGTCCAAGCTAGCCAGTTAACAGGCTCCGGATCCGGCTGAAAGGGTCTGACTACCGGGTAAGGGCCAAGAAAGAACTGGATGAGAGAGGATTGGCCGAGGGTAGTTGGGACTGCGGAGGCTCTCCCATCCTCTCTCCTCCTCTCTCTCCCCTCGTCTCTCTTCTCTTTCTTCCTGCTCTCCCTTCGTCCCATCCTCGACTAGAAAGCTTGTTCGCAGGCCAGTCCAAGCCGGTGTGCGCTCCTTTGCTGAACAGAGCTTAAGGCTGGCGATCGATCATCATCATTCATACCACTGCTAACATGGAATTTCCGTCGTCCTCTCGTTTCTCCGTAATCGTAACTACTTCTTGGAAGCATTTTGTCAATATTTTCCCCTAACAAGGGGGCTGAAGAGTTAGGGCAGTGAAAATGTCTGTCACGCAAAACCACCAACTGTACTCTTAGCGTGACGGCAGACAGCTCAAAACTGGACTACTAATAGGAGAAACCCGCGTTGACTACAGCTCGATCCTTCTTTATGAACGCTTTGAATAATAATTGGGAAAGTAATTATTGTGTCGAGTTCCCATACGCGTTTCCACAATGTAACGACACACTTGCATATGGTAGTAAATGAAGAAGGCAATGCAAGACATCACAAAGATACCCGTAGAAGCTGAGAGAAGAAGTAAATTATCTCCCACTTCAGAAGTGGCTTGGAGATCGCCTGTGCTTGTTATGTTCTTTGATATTAATCCCATTGCGAGAATGATCCTTTCCTCTTCAAGAAAAACGCGTGCTCGTCTGGTTTGCCTCACGGAGTAACCTGTGACCGGAAATGATGTCGTTTGTGAACGGATCACTTCAGAAAAAATCTACTGTTACGAAAAATTGCCTCGCACAACTTAAAAGTGCGATCTATATAAAAGCGTACTTACTGTTGGTTTTAAGAAGAACGACCAGGCAAAATTTTCACTGCATTACTCCCTGATCACCTCTGTGTGCGCATATCTAGATTTCTGAAGGGATTGTTTGTTCTAACACAGCTGATGTAAGCAAATCCATATCCCTCCAAAAAATTTGGGTGTAATTCCACATCATGTCAGCCAGGGGGTAAGACTGCGTGACGGGCCAGTAGAGCCTCCACATAAGAGGCTACTCAGACTGCTCAATGTCCAACTTAAAAATTAACAGCATCGAACTTTCAACCCCGTAAGTTAAGATACACCCACACGAAATATGTGAAAAGGTGTCTCGCTTAGGAGTGTAAATCGGGGATTTTGATCTCACTTTAATTTAGGACGTTCAGGACGGAATCCCACTATTTGTTAGCCATCAAGGTATCCTTTAGTGTGGCACTCAAAGAATTAATTAAAAAACGCTACCACGTCCACTTTTAAGTGGTATCTTTCACCCTGGGTTAAATAAAGCTCGAGTCACGCCCAGAGTGGTGGTCTCATTACATTTTCCTGCGAGCATTGACATAAGAGTCATCCCCCCGGTGCCTTTAACTCGGCATCCTTCTTTGTCTTCAACATCGGACATAAAATGTCTACTAATCAACACTGGACTATTCTCATCCCTGCGTCGGCAAAAAGACTATTGGACTTTGTCAAATGTCATGTACGTTCATCTTTGAAAAGTTCATTGTTCCATTGTCCAGTTCCGATACGCGGGCAGGACGCGGGAGCATGCCTACCACCACATCAGCTGACTCGTACCAGACTTCTTTTGAGAGACCCTGCGGAAATAATGATATGAGATCACGCGCACTGAAAGCGAGTGGTAAACGCGTGACCGCTCAACCTGGCTGCTCTAAGGCTAGTTTAAAAAAAATCCTTGTAATCTGCGTAACAGGCGCGGCTGGGCCGGGATGAATGGCAGCTAATGGCGGTGGGC